GCAAAGTCTTGAAATCTGCTGGCACCTCTTCTTTTGGGTATGGAGAACTAATCCCCTCCCCTTATAACCTCCCGGCCGCACAATAATGGCTCCCCTGCAACATAGTACCATCATGTATGAGGTGGGCTAGCTTGTGACTTGGGGTGCAGAAAATCTTCCACAGAGGGCATGCGCCACACTCCCTGGAGGCCTGCGCACTTGCCTACACATGCGCAGAGTTCGCAAGCCTCATTGTTCACCTGGCTGCTGGATCTCAAAAACGTCAAGGGTTCGGATTTTTCGCCTGGGTATCCGAATAGCCCAAATTAGCAGTATGCATACGCGTCGTGACTCAAAGCGCAGGTGTCATTTGTAGTCTTAGATCCCCAGGGTTGTGCGTTGAATTTGAAGTCACAAACTGAAGGTGGCACATGTTTTCGGTCATTGGCTGCTTAGACCGGAGACACAGCAGGGGATCCCACCAATGCAACATTCATGTGATCCAGCAATGGTCTTCTAAAGACAGCGCCCTCACAAGCTCCACTCTACAGCTCCCAGACAGTGCCTTTTTGGGCAATGGCGGGGGGGTCTGCTTGCGAGACCCTAAAGCAGAACATGGTCCTTACATGCTTTGTCTCGCAGGCACCCCAGGCAATCCATGACTTTGGGAAACACCAATGAACCATAACCCTTTCGACAATAGTGCGAAAAGACAAGGGTTCAGGGTGGTTATGGGTGCACCACTCCTGAGGACCACGATAGTTGCTTGGAAGCCCAGTTACGGTGTAACAGCTGGTCAAGGGGCCTGGTCGCAGGCGCTCACATAGGGAATTCCAGGTGGGCCAAGCCCGACCTAAACCTGAAGCCCCAAATCCTGAATCCTAAGCCCTAAAATGCACCCAAGCCTTATACTCTAAACCCATAAACCCCTAAACCCCAAACCCCTAAACCCTGTAAACTCAACACAAGTTCAGGTCTTTGCTCGATGGAAGCGCTGCAGACGCGACATCCCGGCAGGCAGCATGCCGGCAAATAGTGGCTTGGAGCCAGTACTACGCGGTTAAAGGTTTAGGGGTTGAGGGTTTAGGGCTTGGTGCTGTAGGGTTTAGGGGTCTACGGTTTAGGGGTT